CTTTCATTTGAGTACCCACATGCATTTTCATATATTTTTCATATATACATATATATATATATAATATATATAAATATACAAAATATATGAAAAATTGATGTAGGTATTCAAATGAAAGGTCTCGATGAGTCTAACTTCAAGATGAGCTTATATCTTTAAAAATGTCAATAGTTCACAAGATACAAGGTCATTTTTTAACTATGTATCTAGAGACAGATCATTTTTGAATGCAGCCTAAATATTTATTATAATAAATTAATTATTTATATTTTAGGCATGACAATGATCTTAGGTTGTATTTGTAGTGTCAACGTCGTGGTCTATTATTCTATTATTCTAGATTTACATTATTCAGACCTAACTGATCCCTTGTCTACTCCCATTCCAAAGCTGCAGGTTGCTGCAATAACTGGCACCAAGCCAGAGGTCCATTTATCTTGAATTTCAGTGCGGCTGCTACTTTTTAAACCTGTTTTTTTAAACATAAAAATATCAATTTAAATTAAATAAATAATTTTTATAAAATAAATTTAATTTTAAATATTTTTTAATGCTTTAATTAATTAAACTCTTTCATTATAAATTAAATTTATAGTTAAAATTTTAATAAGAATAATTTTTAATAAAAAAAATTGTCTTAAAAATTAATAAATAAATGTCAATGAAGAAAAATTGTCATAAAAATTATTAAAAATAATAAATTTTTGTTAAAAAAATTACTAAAAAAAAAAGTAAATTAATTTATAAAGCTAAAAGAAATTATATATTAATATATATATATATTGATTGAATCTAAACATTGAGTTACGCAATAAAAAATAAAAAAAGTAACTGAGGTCATTAGCTTATGATTTATTTATATTCTAATTTATTTTAAGAATAAAAATAAATGTTACTCAATTTTTTTTTCCTCTTAAAATTATTTAACCGACAATAAAAGCTTGTTACAAAATTTTAAAATTCACCTGCATGATAAGCTAACGTAGGAATTCCCGAAGCGCTTAATTTTTCAGCAATAAATTCCGTAGCTTCTTTTTTACGGCAATAAATAATCCCACAATTTTTGCCATTACTCGGCATCTTAGTATCATCAAAAGAACTGAGTGCTTCGATAATATAAGTAACTAAATGGTCAAGAGGGTTTGTTATGGCGTCGACAAACCACACATCGTAAAAAAGATTCTCACGGAATACCGGAGCTGAAAATATCAACGGATTTTTCATGGTCAAACTAGAAAAAATATCTTGTACAATCTGTAATTTAAATAGCGTTATTTTATATTTATTATAATTGAAAATTTTAATATTAATTATAACTTATTTAACAAACCTCTTTAGCTGCGGTAGCAGTGAGAGCAATTATTGGAACTTCAGGACATTTTAAACGCAAGATATTTAATTTTCTGTATGTAGGACGAAAATCGTGCCCCCATTGACTTAAACAATGAGCTTCGTCGATAACAAAATATGATATTGTTTTTAATTTGTACATACTCTCTAATAAACTCTGAAAAATAAATTATTAAAATAATAATTAACAATCTTGTTAGCAATTTTGTTAAATTAAACTGTATTTTCTTAAATATTGACATTTTTAAAAATATAAACTCATCTTGATGTTACACTTATCAAGAGCTTTCATTTGAGTACCCACATGGCATATTATATATATGGTATTTGTGATATATATATATATGAAAAATTGATGTGGGTACAGAAATGAAAGGTTTCAATGAGTCTAACATTGGAATGAGCTTATATCTTCAAAAATATCATTAGTTGATAAGATAACAAAGTCAGTCCTTAATTATTGATATTTTTGGAGATGTAAGTTCATTATGATGTTACTCTCATCAAGAACATTCATTTGAGTACTCACATCAATTTTTGATATATTTTTCATATATACATATATATAATATATATAAATATATGAAAAATGCATGTGGGTATTCAAATGAAAGGTCTTGATGAGTGTAACATCAAGATGAGCTTATCTCTTAAAAAATGTCAATATTTCACAAGATACAAGGTCATATCTTCATTATTGATATTTTTAAAGATATAAGCTCATCCTGATGTTACACTCATTGAGACCTTTCATTTGACTACCCACATCAATATTTCATATATTTATACATATTATATATATATATATGTATATATATAAATATATGAAAAATTGATGTGGGTATTCAAATGAAAGTTCTCGATGAGTGTAACATCAATATGAGCTTATATCTTAAAAAATATCAAGAGTTTTCAAGATACAAGGTCATTTCTTAATTATGTGTCTGGAGACAGCAAATTTTTCTTATTCTCTTAATAATATTATAGATAATAAATTTAATATATTTTTAAACATACTTGAAAGTGAGCTTGATCACACATCTCAGGTGTGATATATAACAATTTAATTGTTGGCTTTTTACTGGATATATCTTTCATCATCGCTGATTTTTCTTTACTGCTTGTTTTTGAATTTAATGCATTTGCTTTTATTCCTTTGGTGTTTAAAAAATCTACTTGATTCTGAAAGAGGTAATTATAATAATTATTACAAATTACACTTTATTGTACATCAAATAATATTTTATAATTATATTAATTTCAAAATCAAAAAAAATTATAAGTAGAAATTAAAAAAAAAATAAAAAACAATTTTTTGTAACAAATTTAATTGTTAAAAAAAATTAAAAAATACTTAAATGACTGCTAACTTCAATAACACTAATTTTTTTTATTAAAAAAAATTATTTAAAAATAATTAAAGTGTAATTTTTTTATTCATTAAAAAACACAAAAAAATTATGAAAAATCTTTTAATTTATGTTATTAAAATTATTTTTAATATTAATTAATTTAATATAATTAATAAAATAATAAATAAATAAATTATTTACCTTGACAAGAGCCAAAAGTGGAGAAATAACAAGAGCCACTGAATTTTCTTTCAACGCTGCTGGCAATTGAAAGCATAATGATTTTCCAGCTCCAGTTGGCATGCAAACATAAACGTCATTTTTTCCTGAAAAAAAAAATAATTAACAATTAATCATTAATAATTATAAACAATGAATATTATTTGTATTATTTTTTATTATAAACACTAGATAAGAGAGGTTAAATCTCACTGTCATTGATAGCAGCAGTGGCACGTGCTTGCAAATCACTTTTAAAATTGTCATATTTAAATTTTTTTTGCAGAGCTTGTTGTAATAACATTTTAACAATTATTTATAATTGTTATCTCGGTAAATATGTCCTTTGATTTTAATTATTAAGCATCACTAACATATTACATATTACATTACACATAAACACGGAGTTAAAATCACGACGTTTTTAACGGAGATGGACGAAGGCACCCGAGTAATTAATAAATTTAATTTAACGCTTATATTTTAATAAAAATTTTGTTGTAATTATTTCTTTGATAAAAAAAAATATTTTTTAATTTTTTAAATGTCTAATTTAATTTTCATAAAAAGTTTTTAATTTTTAACTTGGAAATTTTCTAGAAAATTATTGTTTGAATAACAGCGCCTCTACAATTAATTACAAGTACTTTCGCTCTGTATATATTTGCAACCCTGTATATATTTTTATATTTTATCTGAGCAAAGTGTTGAGAAATATTCTGCTGGAACAGATAAAGTGAATTTATAAATTAATATTAAAAAATATCGGTAAGTCTTTTTTATTTATTATAATTATTATTAATTACATTAATAATTTATTTTAACAATTATTCTTTTTATTTGCAGATAATAAATAAATATAAGTAAATTTTTGTCACCGGCCTTAACCTTAAAAAATACGAGTGAGTGTAAGCAGTGTTTTATTTTTATTATTATTATCATGGCACACATTAATAACAATTATTAAAAAAATTAAAAATTAAAATATTAAATATCATTGTTGATAATAAAATTACAAAACGTTAAATATCAGCTAATTTTTTAATGTAGCATTAGATTAGATAAAATTTACAGTTTGTTATTAAATCAACAAACAGCTGACTTATTTTATTTTTTACAAGTGTTTAATGCAGTGTCATAAAATAATTAAAAATTGATTGAGTATTTGGGCTTCATTAGAAAATATCTCTAGATACATAATTAAGAAATGACCTTGTATCTTGTAAACTATTGATATTTTTAAAGATATAAGCTCATCCTGATGTTACACTCATCAAGACCTTTCATTTGAGTACCTACATCAATTTTTCATATATTTATATATTTATATATATGTATATATGAAAAATATATCAAAAATGCATGTGGGTACTCAAAGAAAAGCTCTTGATAAGTCTAACATCAAAATGAGCTTATATCTTTAAAAATGACAATAAGAAATGACCTTGTATCTTGTGAATTGGACATTTTTAAAGATATAAGCTCATTCTGTTGTTACACTCATCAAGACCTTTCATTTGAGTACCTACATCAATTTTTTATATATATTATATATATGAGTATATGAAAAATATATCAAAAATGCATGTCGGTACTCAAATGGAAGCTCTTGATGAGTGTAACATCAAAATGAGCTTATATCTTTACAAATGACAATATTTAAGAGATGACCTTGTATCTTGTGAACTGTTGACATTTTTAAAGATATAAACTCATTCTGTTGTTACACTCATCAAGACCTTTCATTTGAGTACCCACATCAATTTTTTATTTATTTTATATATATGTATATATGAAAAATATATCAAAAGTGCTTGTGGGTATGTCATTAAAGTTAGCCGACGTTCTAAATTTTTTGATTTTTTTTTTTAATAATCAAATTAGTACAAAAAAATTTTTTTTAAAAATTGCACTTACAGTTTTTTGATCTTTGAGAGAAAGCACAAAAAGTAAAATACATGAATGCTAATACACATTTTTTAATTAAACTTCAGAGCTAACCTCTTGCATGAGTGGGTATAAAGTTTTTGCGGGAAGGATAAACATTTGCTAAGTACAAAAAATGAGTGAATTAAGAAAATATACAAATAACGATCCAGGTTGCATAAGTGCACTCGTACCTCAAAAAAAGCGCAGCAATGTTAGTTTAAATAAATAAGTGCCCGGTAAAAGTATTAGCCTTGATTCAACTACCGTATTTCTTCTTGTAGCTATTTTTTTGGTCATATATATGTATATGTAAATATATACTTTTCTTTAATGTTTTTATCGCTTCCTTCTCTTGTATCGTTCGTCTCCTGTTGGACTTTTTCGTCAAATAACTTGTGTAAACTCGAGAAGAAAGATACCGCGATAAAATTTGTTTAAAAAATTCCTCTAAAACTTTCATTTAATTATTTTTATCTTAAAAAAAATAAAAAACTAACTTAATTATATCTTATTATCTTTCATATTGATAAAATTGATTTATTAAAACTTTAATTAAATTCATGGAATTTTTCTTTTTTAAAAAGTGCAATATTATTTTAATTAAAAAATATCTCTAACAATTTTAATTTTTTTTTTTTTACAATATTTTGATATTAAATTCCGCATTGAGAATTTTTTTTCTAACATTTAATACCTTGCAAATCTTTCGACTAGAACCATGAAAATTTATTAAAGCAAAATTGTGCTGCAGTAAATTTAGAAAAAAAAGTAAATCTCAAGGTGCCTTATGACTTTTTCCGATAGTCCGTCAAATAAATTCACTTGGAGAAAATTTATAGTCGCTCATGAAATTTACTGAGTTGATTAATATTTATTAGACTTTTAAAGTTTACTAGATTTCCGATCTCGAAAATTTATCAGCGAATACACTATTGCACTGCTTAAAATGCTTGATGGTACACTCAATATAAAATTTTTTGAAACAAAAAACTTACAAAAAATACTTTGAGAAGTACAAATTAAATTATGCAAATTTACAAACTTTTCAATCCAGCTACATTTTTTTTTTAATTTTTAAGTACTAAATTATTGAATTAAAAAGCTTGTAAATTTATATAAATAATTAAAAAATAATTGACCAGGCAGCGTAACAATTAAATTATAAAAAATCTAGTAATTTAATTTTATATCCAGTAATTATCTATTTTTAATTATACTTTAAATAAAAAGCATGCACATAAATATATGCAGGTATAATAAAAAAAAATTGAGTACAAATGTCAGAAAGTTGTGAAAATTAGTCATTAGAACTTGACCTTGCCGTGTTTAATAAGTACATTTGAGATCAATTTATGTAAAATTAAATACTTTATAATAAATAAGTATTTGTCAAAACAATTTAATATCGAAGATTAATTATCAATTATTTTAGTGAGAAAAAGCATGTTAATTGAAATAATACTCCGGTCGACAATTGGGGTTGTAAATTATCCAATGTACCTAATATTAGTACGGCTTCGGCCACTGATTTAAATATCAGTACTGAAGATAATATTGTATCAGAATACAGAACAACTAACAACAATACTTTAATTATTAACGTGTCAGTGAATAGACTAGCTAATGTCGGAATTATTATAGATTAAAAATAAAAATTATTTATAAGTCTAGTAAGCATAATACTGGTCAGTATTTGGAACATAGCGGTCAATATTTAGTAAGTAATGTTCAATATTCGGAGCAACCGGCTGTTAATTATTACAATTAAATGTTTATTATTATGTATTTGATAAACAAAAGTATTATAGTTTGTAAGTTAAAACTATAAAAAAGCATATTACTAATTTCAGCTCAAAACTCTTCCAATAAATTAACAAATAATCTATTTATGTGAATTTTATTTAAACTGGTCAATATTTGGAGCCTTAATGAATTTCTTTGAATGTGTAATAACTTTCATAATTTTGAAGGAAACTTAATGAAACTGAAGACACTTTTTTTCAGCGCTGTTTTAGTGATTGACTTTCAATTTTAACTAAATCGATAAATAACTTTACAAATGGCGACTATCAACCATTTTTGAATTTCCAAAAATTCAATAATTTCTCTATTGAGACACTTATTATCACAAATAATGTATTTATGTTTATTTTATCTATAATAAAAAAAAATTTCTTGTTTAGGCTTATGAAGAATTGGAAGAACTTCTCGCAAAACACCAAATTTGCATCGCAATAAAGGAAAAACTAGTTAAAGATTCAGGAGTTGCCGAAGAAATAGCTTACGACAATATAGTGCAGAAATTGTTGACTAAGCCGCGAGCTCGAGGTAAGATAATAATAATAATAATAATAACCTTTTTCAATTATTCCTCAACGTTTAATTATATAAATTGTTTATTACTGAAAATGAGGTCTTAAAAGTTTCATGAATAGACATTAAATCTTTAGCTTGAAAGTCTTAGCGCTTTTGAATTAAAAGTTTGTCACTTAATACGCCATCAAGTCCTCGAGTGACAAAAGAATAAATACTCTCAACTCTTTATGCTCAAAAGGAGCAAAAGAACCTAAATAATCGTTTATATTAAGAGGTTTAGTTTCAAACGTAAATTATAAATAAATCTAAAATAATTCTTTGCAAAATTAAGGACTTGATAAATCAATTTATCCGGCAATAATAATAATTATTAATCAATTGCAAAGGAACGAGTCTCGTTATATTGAAAATTAATTAAACAAAACAAAGTCTTCGAAATGAAAGAAATAAAATGAAATAGAGGTGATTAAAAGTTGGTGAAAGAAAGTCTGAGAGCAGAAATGTTTAAGAGAAATAAAAAAATCACCTGAGCTCTTTCAGATGGAAACGTGAATAATGACAACTAGCAATAATGTTCTCTTATAAAAAAACACCGAGTGTTTATAAGGAAAAAAATCAGCCTGTCTTTCATACTTTGTATAAAGAGAGGATATGCTTTTTATCGTGAAAATTAAAAAAAATGTCACGATCTTTTATATTAAGGTTGTTTGCTTCTTTTGTCAAAAACTATTTCTTTCTTTGTGACTTTAGAAACTTTCAATTATGTCTTATTTAAACATCTTGCTCTTCGTTAAGACGCTGTTAATATCAAAATATTTTTTTTGCTATCGAAAATTGCTTAATTAATTTATTTGATTTAAAAAATTTTTTATTAATAAAAAACAAGTCTTATTAAATTGCACTGTACTTTCTAAAATAATGACGATTTTAAAGATATAAGCTCATTCCGATTTTACACTCATCAAGAGCTTTCATTTGAGTACCCACATACATTTTTGATATATTTTTCATATATATATATTATATATTTTAAAGATATAAACTCATCTTGATGATGAGTGTAACATCGGGATGAGCTTACATCTTTAAAAATGTCAATAGTTCACAAGATAAAAGGCCATTTCTTAATTATTAATATAAAAAATTTTATTTTCTATTAAAAAAAGTCTAATTGAAATTTTTAATCAAAACTTTTTCAATCTAAAACATTAAAACATCTTGTCCAGTATTTTTCAAATCCTCAGATTCTTTTTAAATAATTCCCAGTTCTAAAACTTTTAACTGACGCAACTAGATACAAAACATTGCTCGAATTCTAGCGTTTATCTTTCCTTTGACATAAAAGTCCGTGTCTCGCTATACTAGTCGAGGAAATTACGCAAGTTTCACTTAGAATAACTGTTGTATTTAATCAAAAATTTTTTTAATACCAAGTTATTGCTTTCGAAGATCGATAGCAAATGCAAGTTCTTACGTATTGGTATCAAATGTCAATTTACTGCTGTAATGACAGGATTTTTATTAAATTAATTGAGTTAAGCCTTGGAACAGTGACAGAAAATGAAGTTATTAAAAATAAGGGCCTACAATCATTTGTGACCTCGATCTTAGATTATAATCTATCGATATATTTAACAATAAATCCTTTAGTTTTATTTAAGGAGTTAAAAATGTTCTTGAAGTTATTTTCCGTTAAGTAGGATTGGCTAAAAAAATAATTATTGTAAAAAAATAATATCGAAGCTCATTTACTTTGAAATTAAACCTTTCTCGACTCTTAGTGTAAGTGTAATTAAGATCTCGTCGAGCTTTGACGCAAAAAAGTAAAGGGAAGTTGAGTAAAAGCGGACAAAAAATTGTCTAATGATCTCACTTTTTTTCCCTTGATATTCTTTACTACAACAAGCATAACAATAACAGAACAATGATTTATTTGCCGTCTGAAATTTCGCATTATTGTGTAGTGTAAGGGGAGCTTGCCCGAGACAAAACCCAAAAATTAGCAGACCGGGACGAAATGGAATAGGACACTACATTATATTAAGAGAGCAAAAATTTGTGGATAAATTTACTGCCTGCCCTACTCATATTGTATAATACTATCCCACGTAAGTTACAGCCATATATTACGATAATTAAATAGTAAATTATCCCTGCATATTTATAAAATATATTTTTAACCAAAATATTCACTTTTAATTAGTGAAATAATCAAGATAAAAGTCTTAATTAAATTATATTTTACAATATTATGCATAAAATTGATATAAAACGCATATTGTCAGAAAGAAAAATGATTGCTGAACTTATTAACATTTTTTTAAATCGATTCATTGCTATTTTTACATCAAAAAAGTCGTCTAATGGCTTATGCTGTGGATTATCAAGTCCTTATGGAGGTGTAAGCACGATTGCTTTTCAAAATATCAATTTTTCGACTCTATTTATTTTTTAATCTCCTTATCAATCATTTAGAAAGCGATGGTATGTAAATGCCGGCTTAATATTGTTTTGTTTAGTTATAATTAATTTTTTTCGGCTGGGAGATCCCACCAATTTTCGGTCTTTTGAGCAGCCATTTGTAATAATTTATTTCTAAGAGCTTCAAGACAGCTGATACTATACTAAATTGTGACGTAGCCTGGTGACCGCCGGTGATACAGTCCCCTATTGTTTCTTTTGATGATTTACTTCAATCGCAAGAGAGCGTTGAATTTGTATAAAAATAAATAATATTCCCGGAGAAAATTTGAACGAACTTTAAAATTGAATTAAATAAAATTAATTTCTTATAATTAATTCTAGACTAACTCGTTATTATATCTTTTTTGTTTGTTTTAATATAAAATTTTTGAAAAATTGAAAGTATAAGCGCTTAAGGCTTGCACATTTGGATCTACCAAAGTTTTTTTAACATAAAATAATTCTTAAAGTTTTAAAGCGACTACAATAATAAATACTTTAAATTACTAAAAAATTTTAATTTTCTCAAATGTAACTTGGATTAAAAGTGACATCGAACTACTGGAAAAAAGTTAAAATTTACTTTTAAATGTTTTAATGTAATTTAAAAGTAATTCCGGCGAGTTACTGGAAAAAATCCTTGAATTTTTCTAGTTACCTTTTTTTCCGTGAGTTATAATTAGATAACTCAATTCAAAGTTATTCGATAGATGTATAAAAAGAAAAATTAAATAGAATATCCTTCGAAGGGTGAGAATAAATCTGAGGACAGTAATAAAATACTATTATTCAAGCCTCATGGGAAAAAATAAGTCTCATGACGCTTTATTGTTTTATTCGGAACACAAACTTTGAAATAATGAAAAAATTAAATAAACTTTTTATAAGAGGACTATTTTGCTAAGAATATTTTTTTTTATTGTTTAGAAAATAAAATTAACTAGCAACCTTGCTATCACAAAGTGACTTGTGAATTATAAAAAATTAAAATTTTGCTTTATTAAATAATGAATTTTGTTAAATTGCACTGTACTTTCTTAAATATTGACATTTTTAAAGATATAAGCTCATCCCGATATATAATATATATTAATATATGAAATATATAAAAAAAATTGATGTGGGTACTCAAATGAAAGATCTCGATGAGTGTAATGTTGGAGTGAGCTTATAACTTTAAAAATGTCACTAGTACACAAGATATTTGTTAAAATGTCCTATACTTTCTTAAATATCGACGTTTTTAAAGATATAAGCTCATCTTGATGTTACCCTCATCAAGAGCTGTCATTTAAGTACCTACATGCATTTTAGATATATTTTTCATATATACATATATGTAATATATATAAATATATAAAAAATTGATGTTGGTACTCAAATGAAAGGTCTCGATGAGAGAAACATCGAGATGAGCTTATATCTTAAAAAATGTCAATAGTTCACAAAAAAAAACCGATTTTATCATATGACTATCCTGGAACCAAAATTTTTCTTATTCTCGTAACAATATATAGATAAATAATCTTTCACCGACTCTGGAATTCGTTCGGGCGAAAAAACATTACAACAAAACTGCATCGTGAATTTAATATGACAGACCTTTTTATAGATGAGTAATCGTGGATGCATCGAACATTGGTGATAAAATATCACCAATATGTCTATTTATACATACCAATTTATTTACATTTCATTCCTTTGGTTCTAACACACGATCGAACAGCGACAAAAAAATAATGAAAAAGAGCGAAAGCGCACATGCAGAAGAGAGATGGAAAAAAGCTGGATAACAAGTGCAAATAGTCGGGCTGGACATTCAGAGAAACACGGTAGTTTCAACTGGAGATAGTATATAGAGCGAAAAATCCATGACACCGAATCTCTGGATCTGCACCGCTTTAAGAGACTTTTTAAATTTTTTTTTTTAAGCGATTGTATTTTTCGCTGAAAAAGTGAAGAGACTATTGATGCTCGGTAGAAACACCGATTTTGGGACTCGGAAAATATCAAGCTCTAATTTTACTCCGATGAATCGAGTGTTGGAACTAGTTGATTAAATTTTTTGTGGGATTCAATAACTGGAGAATTATCTTTGTATTGCGTCGAGATATTAAATTGACGATGGACAAAAAAATATGGTTGCGGAAAAAAGTTAAAGGTTATATCAAGCCAAGGGTAATTTATTTTTTGGCGCTAGAAATTTTGCTAAATTATCCTCAAATATTAAATTTATAATATTTTGGAGCTTTTAAATATAAATTTTTAATAAAAAAAAATTATTATATGGCTCTTAATTTTTATAACAAATTTTCAATAAAATTTACCAAGTCCTCTTTAAAATCTCGCTCGATTAAATTGTAACTAAAAAATATAAATATCACCGAATATATAAAAGTAAAAACTAAAATAAAAAAAACGAATAAAAGTTTACAGTTAATTGGTACAAAGCTTCAGAGGCTGATCGTAAAACTCTTCTATAAACCAATAAAGTTTATAAACGATATCGTTAATTCAATTTTAATCGAGTATAAACTACTTTGTAGATCGGAGATTAAAAGCCTATAGATTAAATAAAATAACAAAAATATAAAACTTGAGCTTGAATCAACTCGCGAGTATTTAATCCGATTTTCCGGCTTACATTCCGGTGCTTTAAATTGTTTCAATTATTCTTTATAAAAAAGGTGAGGTAATTTTCCTTTTTCAGGATGCATTATCTTCGGCTCTGACCAGGAAGTAGCTGAAATGATGAGAGCAGTCCGACGCAATAATGCAACTGGTGCATTTTACTGGATAGGGAGCGATGGCTGGAGCGCCCGCGGGCTCGTTAGCAATAAAAATGAACCCGAAGTTGAAGGTACTTTGTCAGTACAGCCACAAGCTAATCCCGTTGTGGGGTTTGAAGAGTATTTTCTGAATCTCACTGTTGAAAATAACAGACGCAATCCGTGGTTTATTGGTAAGTTTATCTCTCTTAATTTCATACTGATAGAAAAATTTATTTTATTTATTTATTTAAGTCATAGTAGAACCTAAATTTTTTTTCAGTAAAATTAAAAATTCAACCCTTACCGGCCACACGGGTGACTAGTTACCCCACATTTAGAAAGGGTTGAATTAAAGGTCTTAAAATTTGCAAATAAATACAATGAACGACATATGCCGTGAATCTGAGAAGTAAATGTTTTGCAAAAAGGCCATTATTCCAAAATTTTGACTTGTGTGACCAGTTGTTAGAACGCCATCTATTAATGAACCAAGTTGTAAACCATGAGAAATATTAAATAACTCGTCAACGGACATGGCAAAATTAATTAAACGTCTCAATACATGTACACATCTTGTGCAACCGGGTTTTCAGCGTGGGGTAATAAGTTACTCCATGTAGCCGTTATGTGGCCTGGATGAGGTGTGGCTGGTAAAGGTTAAATACGAAATAAAAAACCGTGGATTAATTTAACTGTTTTAAAACGTGGTACAACGCGCCTCACAAACCTAGATAAATTTTCTTCTTATGATTATTATATACCAATCGAATATTTTTCGCGTTTTGTCAAAGGTTTTGAAGCCAAACCGTCGATTATATATAATTAAATTTAGATTTCGCATAATTTCATCTCCGCATTAGGCTCACGAACTCTCGATAGATGACCGACCGTAAAATAAGACCGAACGTGGTACAACGCGCCTTACAAACCTCGATAAATTTTCTTCTTAGGATTATTATATACCAATCGAATATTTTTCGCGTTTTGTCAAAGGTTTTGAAGCCAAACCGTGGATTATATGTATTTAAATTTAGATTTCGCATAATTTCATTTCCGCATTAGGCTCACGAACTCTCGATACATGGCTGCCATTAAATATAGTACAATAAGACCAAACGTAGTACAACGCGCCTCACAAACCTCGATAAATTTTCTTTTTATGATTATTATATACCAATCGAATATTTTTCGCGTTTTGTCAAAGGTTCTGAATCCAAACCGTGGATTATATATATTTAAATTTAGATTTCTCATAATTTCATCTCCGCATTAGGCTCACGTACTCTCGATACATGGCCACCCGTAAAATATGGTACAATAAGACAAAACGTGGTACAATGCGCTTTACTCGAAGAGCTCAAAAGCATAGGAAGCAATCTCTTTGAGCTTGGCAAGCTCAAAATTACCAATAAATCTTATTTTTGAGCTCGAAGAGCTCAAAAACGTCATTGGTGCAGTTATAAGCGCTTAAGTATAGAATTAGCGGGAAGTTTCAGGGATGGCCTCAAAAGGGTCAACCTTTTTCCTAATTTTTATTGTTTTTTTTTGCTGTAGAATTTTGGGAAGATCACTTTCAATGTCGCTATCCGAACTCTTCGCGTACGCCCTACAATAAAAAATACAAAACAGCTTGTACGACCAAAGAAAGACTCACTAAAGACAACACAGCTTTTGAAGATCAACTGCAGTTTGTTTCTGATGCAGTTATGGCATTTGCTTTTGCGTTCAGGTATTTATCAATATCTTTATTAAAACTTCTTTAGAAAAATTTTTTATAGGGTAAAGATTATAGTTAAAGAATAATAAGAATAATAATCATCAGCATAACAATTCAATTTAAATAACTCTAGTAATTTAATTTATTATTCAGTAATTATCTATTTTCAATTATACTTTATATAATAAGTATGCACATAAATATATGCAGTTATAATAAAAAAAATTAAGTACAAATACGTAATTGTTTTTTGAATAATAATAAAGCCGGCTGATGGATTTATAAATCTAATATTATACATAGCGAATTCTTATTTGTAAATTGTTACCCCGGTAATTCCAAAGGTTAAAGTCTTCTCAATTTATCCTCCCTTTGGTAATTGGATTTAATGGAGAACAATCACAAGAGAAAGTAAGACGTGGGGTTGGAGGATAAATAAGGGACGCTTCAGGACGGATGAAATATTTTGTAAATAACAAAGGCCAAGTGTAGTTGAATTTAATTTATAAATCAAACTCTAATGAAAATTTTAGAATATTTCTCCAGTAATCAGTTTTTAAATTAAAAACTAATTATTAAACTTTTTTATGAATTATTTTAAATTATTGTTATTGTTGAATTAAAGGGACATGCATAAGGATCTTTGTCAAGGAGAATCGGGCCTTTGTGAAGCTATGAAGCCAACAAAAGGGACTGAGCTGCTGAAATATTTACGCAAAGTTAAATTTCAAGGTACTTTTAAATCAATTTGTTGCTAATTAAGTGACAGAGTAATTAAAATTTGATGAAAAAAAATAATTTAATTAGGTCTCAGTGGAGATCAATTTCACTTTGATAAAAACGGCGATGGACCTGCTAGATATAATATTATACATTTCAAACAAGTTTCACCCGGCGAGTACAAGTGGGTTCGAGTTGGAAAATATTTGGAAGGCGAACTACGGTTGAATATGTCCGGTAAATTGATTCAATAATTGAAGCATGTAAAATAATTAATTTAGTTTTTTAAAAATTCATTTAATTTATTTTTTTAATAATAAATACCGTGAACTATAAATAAAATTTTTATTTATTAAATAATTAATTTTGTTGAATTGGAACGTACTTTCTTAAATATTGACCTTTTTAAAGATATAAGCTCATCCTGATGTTACACTCGTCAAGAGCTTTCATTTGAGTACTCACTTGCATTTTTAATATATTTTTCATTTATACATATACATAGATAATATATATAAATATATAAAATATATAAAAAATTGATGTGGGTACTCAAATGAAAGGTTTTAATGAGTGTAACATCAGGATCAGCTTATATCTTTAAAAATGTCAATAGTTCACAAGATACAAGGTCAATGAATTAAAAATTAATTTTTGGTACAAAAATTAAAAAGAAAATAATTATTTTTCAGAAATAAAATTCCGACTTGACAATTCAGAACCTCCTGAAAGCGTTTGTTCACTACCTTGCAGAATAGGCCAGGCAAAAAAGTACGTCGAAGGAGAAAGCTGCTGCTGGCATTGTTTTGATTGTACCCAGTATCAAGTAATACCTCTCTAATAGTCACACTACCTAATTTTCTATATTATAATAATTATTATTATAACAGCCTTATCATAATTATAATTTCCTACTGTGATACCCTCCTATAATGAACTAATTAATCCTTTAATTAATAGATCCGGCACGCAACCGATCACACTCGCTGCGTTGAATGTCCTCAAGGAACAGTTCCCGATGAGAAGCACTCGTCTTGCCGCGACATACCCGAAGAATTTTTGAAATTCGACAGCGGATGGGCTATAGGCGCGATGACATTTTCCGCCAGTGGAATTCTCGTGAGTTTAATTTTACTAAAATTCAAACAATCATTAAATAGTCTAGCCAGCGCTTTATACTTGCTACAATAATGGGATAATTGTTAGGTAACTCTGTTCGTCGGCGGAGTATTTCTGAAACACAATGACACCCCAATTGTCCGAGCTTCTGGACGAGAACTCTCCTACGTCCTTTTAACTGGGATATTATTGTGCTACTTGGTAACATTCACCCTCATTCTAAAACCCACGGACATTGTATGCGGAATTCAGAGGTAATTACAATTCAAATTTTTTTTTCTTTCGAGAAATTAAACTGTAAAAAAGTTCCACGCCCGACTATTCAAAAATAAATCTACTTAAAGAATAAAATTGTAATCAAAGTTTTGCTTTATTAAATAATGACTTTTGTTAAATTACACTGTACTTTCTTAAATATTGGCTTTTTTAAAAATATAAGCTCATCCTGATGTTACACTCATTGAGACCTTTCATTTGAGTACCCACATCAATTTTTCATATATTTATATATATTACATATATGTATACTCAAATGAAAGACTCTTGATAAGTGTAACTTCCAGATGAGCTTATATCTTGAAAAATGTCATTAATTAAGAACTGACTTTGCTATTTTGTCAACTAATGATATTTTTGAAGATATAAGTTCATTTTGATATTACACTCAACGAAACCTTTCATTTGAGTACCCATATCAATTGTTCATATATTTTGTATATTTATATATATGTATATATAAGAAAAATATATAAAAATGCATATGGGTAATTAAATGAAAGCTCTTGTTGAGTATAACATCGGAATGAGCTTATATTTTGAAAAATGTCAATAATTAAGAACTGACTTTATCTTGTCAACTAATTATATTTTTGGATTTATATATTTATATATATGAATATATGAAAAATATATAAAAATGCATGTGGGTACTCAAATGACAGCTCTTGATGAGTGTAATATCGGGATGAGCTTATATATTAATTACTCCTAAGAAAAATATTTTTTTACTTAAAAAAATAAATCGTTTAATTTCAATAAATAAAACAATTTTCAGTATTAGTAAAAAAGAATTGAAAAAATATTTTACTGCAATGAAAATTTGTATAAAACCTTTTAACCTTTTTCCGACAGCAACATTTCAATAGAATTTGGCCATAAAACTTTCGATTCAGTCATCAAACACTTGGTATATATTTGCCAATACTTGAACAGACAAATTTATCGTGTCAACAAGGTGAAAAAAAATGAATTTGATGAAATTTATAGGATTTATTTGAGCAATAACGAAATAACAAATTGGCAGATGGACATTAGTCTGTGTATGAGATGAGATGAGATAAAATAAAAATTAAACACTTAAACAGAACACAGTGACTGGATTACTGCCAGACATGTGCTGGGAGTGCTTTCACAATTTTAGTTTCCGCCAGCCAAATCCTATTGTCTCGAGTTGACAATGTGTATGAGGAATAAAAAATAAATAAAATCAATTATAAATAGTTTGTAGTTGTAGCTTTGTATAAGGATTTTAATTTATCGCGACAATAAAACAAAACCGTTAGATTTATTGATACAAGGGACAGTAATCACCATTGGCAATCAATTTTCCCGGGTTCTCGGATCTCGCCTCTCGATTCTCGGTTCTCCTATCTCTCGTCTAATCCTGTTCGCCTGTCAATCGGTACCAACCTCCTTGGTGTCCGTTTTATTGACGACAAATCCCTCTCAAATGTCACTAGGACGAGAAAATTTCCAACGAATCGCCTTTACATCTTTTCTGACCTTTTTTTATTTCAACACTTGTTGTCACGTCAACACTAATAAAATATAAGGCTATGCTTCATTCCAAAAAAAAAATCTTTTTTTTTATAAATTTCCGCAATACAAAAAAAAATTTATATTATTAAGAGAATAAGATAAATTTTGTTTCCAGGATAGTTATTGAGGCTGTATTAAAAAATAATCGATCTCTAGATACATAATTAAGAAATGACCTTGTATCTCGTAAACTACTGACATTTTTAAAGATATAAACTCATCCCGATGTTGTACTCATCAAGACCTTTCATTTGAGTACCCACATCAATTTTTCATATATTTATATATTTATATATATGTACATATGAAAAATATATCAAAATATATGTGGGTGCTCAAATGAAAGCTCTTGATAAGTGTAACACCGGAATGAGCTTATTTCTTAAAAAATGTCAATATTTAAGAACTAACCTTGCTATCCTGTCAACTAATGATATTTTCGAAGATATAAGCTCATCTCGATATTACACTCATCAAGAGCTTTTATTTGAGTACTCACATGCATTTTCATATATTTTTCATATATACATATATATAATATATATAAATATATGAAAAATTGATGTGGGTACTCAAATGAAAGGTCTCAATGAGTGTAACATCAGGATGAGCTTATATCTTTAAAAATGTCAATATTTCATAAGATACAAGCTCATTTTTTAATTTTCAAAAAAAAACTAAATTTCAGGTTCGCTGCTGGATTTTGCTTCACAGTAGTCTACGCAGCGTTGCTAACAAAAACCAACAGGATATCCCGTATCTTTAACAAAAGCAAGAAGAGCGCGAAAAGGCCATCGTTTATATCCCCGCGATCGCAGCTGATAATTTGCTCGCTTCTTGTCGGAGTGCAAATTCTGATAAACATCGTATGGATGGCGATTGATCCTGCGCGAGCTAAGCATCATTATCCTACCCGCGAAGATAATCTCCTTGTATGCAACAGCCATATTGACGCCAGCTACATGATAGCCTTCACCTACCCGATTATTTTGATTATCGTTTGCACGGTCTATGCGGTCTTGACTCGCAAGATTCCCGAAGATTTTAATGAAAGCAAGCACATTGGTAATTCAATATTATGCTATTTTTTTTATAATATTAATTCAACTTTCTATCTTAATTTATATGGTAATTTTTGGGGTATAAATTATCATATAAATAATTATCTAATTATCTTTCAGGATTCACAATGTATACAACATGTGTTATTTGGCTGGCATTCGTACCACTGTTCTTCGGAACTGGCAATCATGTTGCGCTTAGAATAACATCAATGTCCGTTACAATAAGCCTCTCAGCATCAGTAACAATAGCTTGCTTATTCAGTCCCAAGGTATGTTATTATTTAATATAAATTTAATTGCACTTGACTATTTTTTAATATTTTTTTGATAAAAATTAATTATGAAACTGAAGTTAGCCGTCAATTTTTAGAAATTTTTTTGTACTAAATAAATTCCAATAAAAAATTAAAAAAAAAAAATTTAATTAAAAAATTGAATTATTTCAAAAATTCTAAAATTTTACAGCTAATTTCGCTATCATAAATTAATTTACCAGTTATTTAATAATTTAATTAATAATTTTAAAATCAGTGCCAAAAATATGACTGATTTAAATAGATATAAGGCTATTTTGGATGAAATTGATAAAAAATATTTGATAAATATTTTGTAAGTAGCCATAAATTTTTAATGACTAATAAAAAATATCAGCTTCATTATAGTAAATAAATTTTCAGAATATATGCAAGTCATTTCAAAATGTTAACAAAATTATAACAAACTCACTCTTTCAGCAGTTAGAAGCAATCAGCCGGCAAGTAGTAGAAGCAAGCAGCGACCATCCTGAGAAAAAAATAAAATTTAAAATTTAGAATATTGAATAAAAATTAAATTGTAGAACACAAAACAATTTTTATTTTCATTTATAAAAATTGCTAAATGTCTACTATTATTTTTCATATTTGTATGATTAATCTTACCTGATGATGATGATGATGATGATTTAGGCATCTCCAACACAACATACACTCACTACACTTAACTCAAACAAACTTTTTATACTTAATACACTAAAGCTAGTTTTAAAAATACTTCACTAATTGGTCAAACAAACACTAACATACACTAAAACAATTTTTAAAAATTCTTCACTAATTAATTAAACAACAAACACTAAAACTGTTTTTCAAAGTACTTGACTTATTAAAAAAACAACAAAACTGAAACTTTAGACCGATTGTTAAATTAAATATTACGACTTAGAGTCCGCAAGTCAACGTTTCTTCATCAACTTCTTGCAAATTTTTATAATTCTTAAGCTACACGGAAAGAACAAGATGACACTGGATACCATCTCAGATTATACCCAGTGACATCTGAGGTAAAAAAAATTTCAGATGGTAGCTAGTGTAATCCAGATTATACTGAATAATATCTGATTATAATTGTTATCTGGATTATACTAGTTACTATCTGAATTTTTTTTTACTCATAATAATCTGGGATTATATCCAGTATAATCTTGTTCTTTGCGTGTAGTAATAAATACATAATTATTTTAATTGGTATTTACTTTTACTTGAAATTTAGTGTAAAAAAAAATTTATTAAAATATTATTTCCATTATTTAAAAATGAAAATATAGTCTGCTGATATGTAAAAAATTTTATGAATTTTTTCAACAAAATTAAAAAAAAATTTTTCATCTGTTAAAAACTTGAAAAACTATAAGTGCAATTTTTTAAAAATATTTTTTAGTTATAATTTAATAAATTAAGCAAAATAATTAAATCAAAAATGTCGACTTACTTTATTATTATTATTTATAATACTAAAGTAAGCCAACGTTTTTAATTTTTCATTTATTTAATAAAAACTAATAAATATTTTTAAAAATTGCGTTTATAATTCTAAGTTTTTTATTAATAATTAAAAAAAAATTTTTTATAATAATTTTTTTAATAGAAAAAAATTCTAAAAATTATTTAATGTCAGCTAATTTAATTTTTTTTTTATTTAAAAAAAAAAATGACACGATTTGGTAACGATGCATTATTTGCGAAAAAAAAAATTATTTCATAAATTATTTTAATATTTAATATTTAATTATATTTTTAAATTAAATTGAGCTAATAATTATTACTTGATGTCTAACAATTGTTATTGATTTATCAATTGAAAAACAAAAGAAACCTGAAAGCTACAAGATTGCTCGCACAGCGCGGGAATTTTTATTTTTAATAAATAATGATCTTACCATGAATATTTTCTTTAAATTATTATCTTGATAGCAAAAGGGACATTAGATAATTAAATTTTTCATAAATTATTAATGGATTACTAAATAATTACTGCATAGTTACGCTAAATGCGCGGGAAATATCAATGAGGGGACGTTGGCTGCGGGCTCCGGGACTGGAATGGCTGCCGGATCACGCGACCGTTAAAACTTGCAATTCATGCCTTCTGCGCAGCTTCGCCGCGCAGATTTCGAACTCGCGCCTGCGCGCGGGTGTTTTTCAACCGCGCTATTTATTTGAATTCTAAAATAAAAATAATTTTATTAACAAATAAATTATTTATTTTTATTTTTTAATAAATAAATTATTTATGTTTATTTTTTAATAAATAAATTATTTATTTTTATTTTTCAATAAATAAATTATTTATGTTTATTTTTTAATAAATAAATTATTTATTTTTATTTTTTAATAAATAAATTATTTATTTTCATTTTCTGATAAATGAAATATTTATTTTTATGCTTTAATAAATAAATTATTTATTTGAATATATTAATAAATAATTTTATAATTTTATATTAATAAATTTAAACATTTAGTTATCATTATTGATAATTATTTACTTATAAAAATAAACAAATTTTTTATCATATAAAATAATTATTGTTTTTTAAATGAACACTTTAAATAAATTTTTTTATTAAATTTTTATTTTTATCAAAAATAAATAAAATTTTGTTTTATTAAATAATGACTATATAAATAACATTTAATATATATTTAATAATTTTTAAGAATTTGAAACAAATAAACAATGGCAAAAATAAATTTAAAAAACAAATCCAATATTTTAAAAGTAATTTCCTTTTTTTAATTTAATAACACATTAAATTTTGATATATTTTTTATTCATACATATATTTAATATATATTAAAAATATAAGCTCATCTTGATATTACATTCATCAAGAGCTTCTATTTGAGTACCCACTTGCATTTTTTATATATTTATAAATATATAAAATATATGAAAAATTGATGTGGGTACTCAAATGAAAGCTCTTGATGAGTGTAAGGTCAAAATGAGCTTATATCTTAAAAAATGTCAATATTTCACAAAATATAGTATAAAAATGACTTGTTTAAAATTCCAGCTGTACATAATATTAATCCACCCTGAAAGGAACATCAGACGAGGCAGAGGACCTTTCGCAGCGCCGAAGCATTCGACAATTGGTAGAACGAACGCTTCAAGTATGATCTCCACAGTAACGTTGACTGCTGTAACCTGTGATCAGAATAAAGCCGTCAAAGGGCACACCAACGTCACCACCAATGACTCTTCGACCCAAAGTGAGAGTAAGTGCTTTAACTAAAATGATTTTACCAAGACTGACGGCTTGATTATGTTACAGTGCACGAAATAGAGCTGAAGGACTGCAAGAACGGGAGAGTCCTCACTTCCGGGGTGACTAGGTCAACCCAGACTTCTCTCAACAACAATGAGACCGTCAATGACGATAAATTAAATGACCTCGGAAGCGCCAATGCTAAAATTGGAAACGGACCTGCTGTTAAGAAAGACGTGGCTTTATAGCAGAGCACCGGCTCCTTGATAAGGGGGAGCGAACTGCCCAATATCCTTCTTGCAGCCAAGAATCTTGTTCCTATTTCTAAGGAACCAGTTCAAGTTTAATTATAAGTTTAGGTGTAATTATTAATAATTATCTGTTAATCACATATCTGATTGAATACTCGTTAAGATCGATCCAGCATAAATCTATTTCAATGACAAGTCATTAGTCGACACGTCATTTTCATGCTGAATATCATCCTCGTGTGCATTCATCCGATGTATCTATCATATAGCTGTAAATATGTGGATACATCACGTTTGATCAATAATTGTCATATTTAATCGTATTGAAATTTATAGCTTTTTAGCTTTTAAAATGAGAAATTAATGACAGAAGACTTTCTAAAGAGCGTTAAAAAAATTATTTTTAATTTAGAAGTTAATATCTTAGAATTAACTTTCCACTAGTGAGAAGATTTAGCGACCATGCGCCACCTGTTGGATTTTTTTGGAACTAAATTTTTTAAAAAGTTACAAATGGCTATATTGAGTTAATTACGGGTTAATTTTCATTAGATAAGGCTTAGTGTACTTAAATATGATGCCAAATTAAATTTGAATTTAGTAACTCTTAAAATGGAAAATTAATGCCAGAAGGCCTTCTAGAGAGCCTTGAAGCAATTATTTTTAATTTGAAACCAAATATCTTAGAATTAACTTTCCACTAGTGAGAAGAGTTAGCGACCATACGCCACTTGTTGGATTTTTTTGGAACTAATTTTTTTTTTTTATATATACAGAAAAAAAGGTTCACTTGAGACAAGAAAATATTTTTCTTCCTAATTATTTTCTTGAGCGAAAAAAAAATTTTTTTTGACAAGAAATTTTACTTATTCCAAAATTAATTCTCTTGCTTTGAGAAATACGTATCTTGATCCAAGAAAATTTATTTAATTTTTATACAAAGGACGGAATAATTTTTCTTTATTTTAAACTTTGAATTACTTAGCAAGTATACTTCTCATTGCAAAAAGCAAATTACTAAATGAATATATGCGTTATAATTAAGAATGGCGAGCCCGTATCGCGATTGACAGTCAATCATAATGACCAAGGCCTCGAGAATGCATATTGATGGAAAAAAGCGCATATAAATGATTCATTAATAAAAAAATAGTGAGTCATACGTTTGCGTTGTAATCAAAGAGAATTTATCGGGCACTATTATTTACAGCACGCCACTTCATAAACGGTCTCGTGTTACTTCTGTTGCGTATTAGCAGTATGTATGTTAGTATGCTGGATTATACCTTTATGGAGCAAGCTTCCGTCGCAACCCTACTAGGGTAGAATTTGGGTATAAATTTTTAGAATCTGCGGTGGTAAAATACCTGCTATAAAGTTACTACGTGACCGGAGATCCCACTTTGTCCTTGTATCCGTGTTACCCAGTGTTAAAGTTATTTACTCACCGATGTTTAGTGTGTCATCATTTTTCACCTTCACTCATACCGTCGTTTAATTGAAAAAGTCACTTTATTACTCTGTCATCCTCACTGTTTTTGGCTTAATTATCAGTGATTAAAAGTCATGTCTTGTAATTATTTACGGAGTTTATAATTAAGAGGAAATTTTAAATAAGTCTTACATTATTTTTAAATTTGATTTTTTTGCTAAAAAAATCTTCGTATAGAATAAAAATATTTTATTAAAGCTTAAATACCTAGATTAAAATTCATTCTTAAATTATTCATCGTAATGTTCACTTTTAATGGCTTTCTCTTAATTGAAAAAAGAAAGAAGAGAACTCCTGGTGTTTACAGAATTTTAATTACCAATTTTATCATTAAATTAGAAAGTGAGACATCAGCGAGAAGAGATTATTTGAAAATCGATTTTATTTTAACTTACATCCATAATCGCAATAATTAATTTATCGGATCTACATTTTAAAATGCAGAGTCGCTACAGATTTATGCCGAGGGTAGACTCACTATTTTAAAGTTTGCTATTTGAATAGATTCGCGAACGCAGCTATGAATTAAATTTTCATTTTAATGGCTGTATTAATGTTTGGAGTTGAACAACTTTTAGTTAAAACATAATTTCAATAATTGTATTATTATTATTATTATTATTATTATTGTTGTTATTATGTGTTATAGTGTATGCTTGGTCTGCGTGTATTTACAGTATTAAAAAACTATTCTTAAATGGAATGCAGTGGAAGCTAACGTGTAGAAAATTTAAAAACCGATTGGTTGGGTGGAATGTGTAAACTGAAATTTATTCGTTGGTTATACTGAAGTCCATTGAATTTTCATTGTAACTGTTTTAATACCGAGTTGTTTGTCGTGACCGGGTTTGAGATAGTTACAATTTTAATTTTTTTAGAAGTTTTATTACGATAGATCAATAAATTTTTACTCTAACTATATCTCACTATAAATAAATAAAATTTTGCTTTATTATTTAATAAATAATTACTTTTGTTAAATTGCACTGTACTTTCTTGAATATTGACGTTTTTAACGATATAAACTTATCACGGTGTTACACTCATCAAGAGCTTTCATTTGAGTACCCACATGCATTTTTGATATATTTTTCATATATACATATATATATATATAATATATATTTTAAAAATATAAGCTCATCCTGATGTTATATTCATTAAGAGCTTTCATTTAAGTACCCACATGCATTTTTGATATATTTTTCATATATTTATATTTATAATATATATAAATATATAAAATAGATGAAAAATTGATGTGGGTACTCAAATGAAAGGTCTCGATGAGTGTAATGTCGAGGTGAGCTTATATCTTTAAAAATGTCAGTAATTCATAAGATACAAGGTCATTTCTTAATTAATGAAAATTAATTTAGCATGTATTTAATAATTAAAAAATAAAACAAATTATATAGTCCCGTCTGACCAAACACTGATTTTACTACTTGATTTTAAATTATTTTAAAAATTATTATCCAATTAAAATTCCATTAAATTTTTTTCTTAACATCCCTCGAAAAATAATTAACCAAAATAATTTATCTCTACCACAAAACTCTTTCATTTCCTCTAGCTCGTAATATCTTCAACCCTTCTTGTTAAAAAAAAAACAAACTCAACTACAGCTCTTGGTGTAACTTTTCCCAGATAATTATCATTTTACGATGATATAATTATAATTAATGAGCAAAGCTCATAAATCTCAGTAAAAACTAGAAAGTGAAGACTTTAAACTGAAAGCTCGAAAATAAAGTTTGAAGGTGAGATATCCCGTCGTTAACTTGAATCACGCGACAATAATAGCGGGGAGTTGCGCGGTAGACCCGCTAAATCTATGGGATAGCAATTGAAGAGAGACTATACTAGAGCAGGAGCAAGAGGGGTTGATGTTGTTTGAGCGAAGGTAGTAGGTGGAAGTTGAGGTGGTGGATAGAATAGTGGTGGAAGTACCACTAGCGGTAGCTTCACAATATTCAACGGTTGCGGTAACAACCTTCAGTGACTGCTCTGGCACAGAGCCGCGCGTTTCCTTCTTACTCACCTCTGCTCTCGTATGTTATCGTAATATTACGAGACTTCCGCGAAAGATCGTCGTTATTTTAAATTTATTAAAATTTTTTTTTACGCAGTAAAAAATTGTGATTTTTTTTTGTAAAGAATTTTTTTTTTTTTTTTAGTGTAAAAAAATAATTTATGACTTTGAAAATTTTTATAACAATTTTCTATGGTTTAAATAATTAGAAAAAAATTTTTTTAAAGCTACAAAAAATTAAAAATATTTTAAATAATTAAAAAAACTATAAAAAAAATTTTTTTAATAATTTAAAAAATTTTTAAAAATAATTAAAGTGATCAAAATATTTTTTCAAGCAAATAAAACTAAAAAAAAAATTTTTTTGGTACAAAAAAATTTTTTTAATAATTTAAAAAATTTTTAAAAATAATTAAAGTGATCAAAATATTTTTTCAAGCAAATAAAACTAAAAAAAAAATTTTTTTGGTACAAAAAAATTTTTTTAATAATTTAAAAAATTTTTAAAAATAATTAAAGTGATCAAAATATTTTTTCAAGCAAATAAAACTAAAAAAAAAATTTTTTTGGTACAAAAAAATTTTTTTAATAATTTAAAAAATTTTTAAAAATAATTAAAGTGATCAAAATATTTTTTCAAGCAAATAAAACTAAAAAAAAAATTTTTTTGGTACAAAAAAATTTTTTTAATAATTTAAAAAATTTTTAAAAATAATTAAAGTGATCAAAATATTTTTTCAAGCAAATAAAACTAAAAAAAAAATTTTTTTGGTACAAAAAAATTTTTTTAATAATTTAAAAAATTTTTAGAAATAATAAAAGTGATCGAAATATTTTTTTAAGTAAATAAAATTAATAAAAAAAAATTTTTAGAGTGTAAAGTACTTGTATTTCCCGGAGAAATGAACTTGCACTCTATAAGGGTTATTATCATACCCAACGTGAATTCGATCAGCGTTCTTGTTCGCCTTCGTGAGTCCTTGTAGTATGTAGTATGTAGTATACATCACCGGTGAAATTATTTTCATTATGCATATACATATTTAAATTAATACATAGGGGAAATGTGAAACTAAATTATAGTCTTGTAAGATTTTGCATACAAAAGGTACAATGTATTTGAAGAATTTATAAATTATTCAATGGCAATTCCAATTATCCAATAGATTTTTTCAGCCTTGATTATGACATTAAATTCTCTACAATTCAGCATTCGTTAATAATTTTTTTCGAACATTAAGAAAATAATTAGGGGAGGGAGGGGCAAAATGGGGTACTTAAGAAATCGTTATGATTTTAAAGACTTAAATACGCTGATTTTTCTCGTTTTCAGTCGTAATTGAAGAAAAATGATCAAATTTTAAGTTGCCGTAGAAAAAAATTTTTTTTTTTTGCGGGCAAAATGGGATACCCTCTGAAAAAGTGAAAAAAAAAAAATTCATCATCCGAAAATGAAATATCGTTAAAAAA